CTCACACTCAGTCTTTAGACTCAGCCCGGCAACGATGCGTTACCCGTGTTTCTGCTGCTGTCGGTGGTGCTGCTCTTTGCCGTCCGTGCAGCCGGAATATTATCGTGTTACTGTCAAGTGTCAGGGGCAACACCGTCATGGCATTGCCAATGTCAAGTAGGTACCCATCAGGGGCACCAATGCGACTAATGGCGATGGCTCCCGTCAATGCCACGGCCCGTGATCATATTCCGTGTTTGTCCGCGGCATTCCCGTCTTTCTCAAGTGCGTCCGTGTATTCACTCTTACATCACGACTCACGGAGACCGGGAGGGGATGTCTATACCTGACACTTGCGGGTTTCCCACACAGCCGCCCCCCACACGCTGTAAGCGCTGAGTGTTAGCGCTCGGTTCACAAGGTCTCCAAAGCAGCGATGGGACGTGCTCAGAATGGCCTGCAATCCAGTAGAAAGTAATTTGTGTACTTTGATTGCGGCTGCAGACAAGAAGAATGAATCGCTGATAACGGTAGTTCAGGTTTACCGGCAATGTCGTCCCAGCTCGGGAGATTGTGGGGTGGAAAAACTGAAACGTTATAGTTTTAGGTATAGTTCATTATCCAAAGTGCATAGCACCTATAGATATGCAATAAGGAATCCTTAGGTCTACCGGTTTTGTACACAAATAATACATATGTGCACTGGTCGAGGGAAGACACACACAGTACACACCGTTTCCCCAGATTGAGCTATATAGTCGTGTATTGCATGTGTGCATGCCGCTCGACGACACAAGAAATGCTGCCCAATCTTAACCCGCGCCCCGCTGGGGGGGGGGGGGCAGAATCTGCCCCTTCCCGTTTTTCGCCAATAACTTCTAAGCGCGTTACGCCAGCGACGTCAAATTTTCAGTACCTTATCCCGCGCCCCGCTGGGGGGGGGGGGGGCAGAATCTGCCCCCTCCCGTTTTTCGCCAATAACTTCTAAACGCGTTACGCCAGCGACGTCAAACTTTCAGTACCTTATCATACATCAATTTGACACGTTCCCTGAACATTTGAGCGAAATCCGTCGGAAATTTTTGAGAAATTTACGTTTTAGTGACGTCATGTTCGCCATTTTCGCCTCAAAAACGGCAAAATTTCAAACGCCGCTATCATCTTCATTTTTAAAGGAATCAAGACGTAACAAAAAGGTTATACGTGATTCTACTTTGTCTATCAAATGGCTATCTCGGGTTTTTAAAGAATTTGGATTTTGGCCCAATTTTTTTTTCTAAAAAAAACTGACTTTTTTGGGAAAATAATTATAAAATCCAAAATTTTGAGTGTATCGAAAAAAAAACAGAATATATATCAGGGAAGTGGTTTATGTGCACCTACATACGAATTTTTAGAAGAATCGGTTCAAAAATGTGGGAGTTATTCAAAATTTTATGACGTCACGACACACAAAATTTTTGAAAAATGATTTTTTTTGGAAGTTCTAGACCTCGTACGGAAACAAAAATAGCACCATTCGATTCACCATGAAAAACTGCATCAGATAGACACCTTTTTAGACCTTAACAACAAACTTCAAAACTTGACCTCACTTGACCGGACCTTGACCTGATCTCGACCTGAAATTCATCCAGAGGTGGCCCATATCACTTATCGAGTGTGCCTATTGAATTCTATGAATAAAATGACCCATAAAACATGTGTCGCACATGTCCTTTTCTACATTTTGTTTTTGGTGACCTGACCTTGACCTTGACCTTTGAATGATATTGTATGCAACGAATAATGTCTTGGTAGCCTAAGAACACGTTTTGGGCAATCAGTCTCAGTCCATTCTTCGGCAACTACGGTGCAAGGCCGATACTGTAGAAACTTGCATTTTGTACTCTTGACCTGATCTTTATTGACCTGACCTCTGACCTACGTAAGCAAAAAAATTTGGGCTCTTAAGATCCGCCTTGTTGAGAGCTTTCGAGTGCCGTTTTCCCGTCTTTCTACGACCATCGGTTCGGAAGCTAGACAGGGGGGGGGGGGGTACAGGCCATTTTGAGTCCTTCGACGGCACACAAAGGGGGGGGGGGTACGACCCCCCTTGCGTTTGGCCCCTGATGGAGCTAGAGCTTCGCAGAAAAAACGAACGTGTTGCACGTCACGAGAGGAAGCCAATGCTACCCAATTTTAACCCTCGCCGGCACAGGGGGGGGGGGAGGTTGATGCAACCCCCCTAAGGTTTTTCGCGAATAACTCGCGTAAAAAGCGGCCGATCGCGACGAAACTTTCCCTCGCATTGATCAATTTTACACCTTCCCTGAAAATTTCATGACCCTGACCCCAATGACCTTTGACCTGTGACCTCTTTTCCGTGACCATGTTTGGCCGAAATCGCGATTCGGCGTATGTCGATTGTCGGCTCGCATTAGCCGCGCGTTTGCAAGCTTTTCGTGGTTTCAAACGTTCAAACATGTGATTTGATGCTGCTCCCATACATTAGGGTGGGTGTCAAGGTCACCTGAAGGTCAGGTCAGGTCATTGACCTTTGGTGACCTCGGGTGACCTCGGTTCACTTTTTCGAGTTTTACATGTTTCTAGGCTAGTTTTTGGAGCTGAATTCGAATTTAGCAACCATTTGAACGTTTACGAAGTAGGTATGGTGCCTTCGTAACATGTTACGAAGCTGTCAGAGGCGGTTGATACGTATTACGAATACCCGTCACAACCCCTACCGGTTGACCTGACCTGACCTGACCCAACCTGGTCTAAATGCTTAAAAACATCATCTCTGATCAAAACTAACACGATATTCGTGATCAGCACCCCGGAAAACCACATAACAGCCGCACTTTACGACTTTCTAACAGGTCCCGATTTTCCCGGTTTTCGGGTCATTGACCTGACCTGGAAGGTCACCCGATGACCTAGGACCTTAAAATTGGGTACCATCGGCTTCCTCTCGTGACGGGCAACACGCTCGTTTTTTTCCGCGAAGCTCTAGCTCGATCAGGGGCCAAACGCGAGGGGGGTCGTACCAACCCCCCCTTGTGCCGTCGAAGGACGCAAAATGGCCTGTGCCGGCGAGGGTTAAGGTCCTAGGTCATCGGTTGACCTTCCAGGTTAGGCCAATGACCCAAAAATCGGGAATATCGGGATCTGTTTGAAAGTCGTAAAGTGTGGCTGCTAAGGGGGTTTCCGGGGTGCTGGTCACGAATATCGTGCTATTTTTATCACAAATGATGTCGTTAAGCGTTTAGACCAGGTCGGGTCAGGTCAGGTCAACCGGTAGGGGTCGTGACGGGTATTCGTAGTACCTGTCATCCGCCTCTGACAGCTTCGTAACATGTTACGAAGGCACCAAAACTACTTCGTAAATGTTCAAATGGTTGCTAAATTCGAATTCAGCTAAAAAACTAGCCTGGAAACATGTAAAACTCGAAAAAGTGAACCGAGGTCACCAAAGGTCAATGACCTGACCTGACCTTCAGGTGACCTTGACACCCACCCTAATGCATGGGGGCAACATCAAATCACATGTTTGAACGTTTGAAACCACGAAAAGCTTGCAAACGCGCGGCTAATGCGAGCCGACGTACACAAAACCAATAGGTCAGGCGAGGGTTAAAGGAAATAGTTCACTTTTAACATGGGATTTTGAACTGGAATAGCAGTTTCGTAGCTTGAGCTGATACTAGCACAAATCAGGAGCTTTTACAGCTCAACGATCACCCTAGACGAAGATATTCCATTTCTCGCTCCGAAAAGAGTGCCTTGCAGAGGAATGTGTGCCTTGCACAGGAATGCAGCCACGTCATCGTCAGCCAATCAGCATGCTGCTTACAGCTAATGCAGCATGCGTAGGTTTGAACTACGCAATATGATTGGTCAACGCGTAATGAGCTTCCGCGTCAAACATTATTTTACATAGAATATAGTTCGTCCTATATTAAAATATAGAAAATAATTGTTTTTACAAAACGGTTTTATTTCATTTTCTGATCATTTTGAGCATCAAAATCGTAAATCCATAGCAAAATACTAATTTCAGGAAAGTGAACTGTTTCCTTTAAGGCCCAAAGCCCTGGGATAATGCCTAGTACAGGTAGCGCGGGGATGGTTTGGTTTGCTCTATTTTATTGAATATTTTCGCATAAATAGACATAAGGCAATCTGGGATCGGTGCAAAAGCTATTCAGCTTATTTCATGGCACCTCTCCCTCACACACTCTAGCTCATTCACACGTCATTCATGACAAGAAAAAAAGCATCGGGTGCAACACAAATAATGATAAACCGAAGTTTTGATAATCGAATTAAAAGAAATATACGATGAAAAATTAAGTACACTTAACAGTATAAAATAATCGTTGGTATCAACTAAGTTACGTATAAACATAAGTAACTGAAGTAAAGCTGCCGCCTCTGAGGTAGTTCACTGGCGAGTGGCGATGTCCGCAAGAAAAGGCGTGGGCCAACCGATGACTGCATGTGCAGTTTTTTTCCATTCGCTGTCATTGGCGTACCATAAGTGAGAAACGGGGTCCCCAAGAGGGACAATCACGTATTGCCCCTTCCGGCCGCTTAGGGTGTTAGCTCTTCCTGCTCAGCACTATCGGAGACACATCCCCACAATACCGAGCTTCGAAAAAAATAAATAATCGGCATAAGCCGCGCTTTGCCACTGTTTATAGCAAGCACTCTACGACCACCATTCGGCAGCGATGGCCTGTTGAGACACCAGTGAAGCGCGTCCTCCACGGCTGATTGGTAAAAGTGTCCGGCATTACCTCACATCAGCCGGCGCGGCGGCCTATTAGCATGCGGGAGAAGCGACTCCGTTTGCCCGAGTGACGCCGGCGCCGACCGCGGCAGCGGGCCTGTGTTTGAACAGGCGACCCACCGTGACCCAGGGGACCGAGCGGGGCGGGGGGGGGGGCTGACTCGAGTCCACCGTTCGCGAGAGTCAACACTATTGGCATCGAGTGCGGGGGATGAGTTGTATAAAAGACGCGGCGGTGTGCCAGGGTGCATCAGTTCTGTGAGGTATTTCCATTGGAACGCCAGCGGTCTATCCTCGAGACAGTCATGAAGCTGGTGAGTATACTGGCGAAAAGCATTCTAGGCAAATGCAGGGCTCGTTGCCATAGCTGTTAAAGTGTTGGCATGTTTGTTGAGCCGATTTAGGGGATCAGCTTGGAGTTCTTCTCATTCTGGAAGCCTAACCATAAGTTTTTTTTTTTAACTAATAAAACTACTTGCCTTCAGAGGGCTTCATAAGGAGTACCTTTTCATGCTTAAAAGTAAGTACCTTTTATTAATAAATCGGGTTCAAACCTATGATACGCCATTCCCCAAATTCCGATCATTCCGCTGACCCCGTCCCTCCGTGCTGCTGACCCCGCCCCTCCGTACCACTGACCCTGCCCCTCCGCGTGCGCTGGCCCTCCGTCCCTCTGACCCCGTCCCTCCGTGCGCTGGCCCTCCGTCCCTCTGCTGACCCAGTCCCTCCGTGCCGTTTCAGCTGGTTCTGGCGTGTCTGGTGGTGGCGGCGGCGGCCCGTCCGCAGGGAGACGGCCTCCAGTCCTCCCAGTCCGCCGCCACGCTGGCCGATGCCGGCATCCTCCGCATGGAATCCTCTCAGGCGGAGGACGGCTCGTTCCAGTACGCCTTCGAGACGGCCGACCAGATCAAACAGGAGGTCTCCGGTCAGCTGAAGCAGATCGGCGAGGAGTTTGGCATCATCATGCAGGGCAGCTACTCGTTCGTGGCCAAGGACGAGAACGGAAACGATGTGCCCGTCGAGGTGCGCTGGGTGGCTGACGAGAACGGCTACCGCGCTGAGGGAGACTCGATCCCGCAGCTGGGAGAGAACGGAGCCGGCCAGCGGCTCCCGCAGCTGGGGGAGAACGGAGCCGGCCAGCGGCTGCCGCAGCTGGGAGAAAACGGAGCCGGCCAGCGGCTGCCGCAGCTGGGAGAGAACGGAGCCGGCCAGCGGCTCCCGCAGCTGGGAGAGAACGGAGCCGGCCAGCGCGACCCGAACCTGATCGCCGCCTCTGATGATAACATCGTCATCCTCCAGTAGGAGACGCTGCTGCTCCACCGACCGACCAAAGTGATACCGCTCTGCCGTCATCAACCCGAGCAAATATTCGCCAACTGATGTCACCGTCGAACGAACGGACGCTTTCTGACTGGAAAACGACATCACTACTTGTTTGTCCAATGTCATTGCTCACCAAAAATGTACATACAAATATACAACAGTTCAACGAAAAGGCAACTTTCAAAGTGAGCCATAGTTAGTAGGGCAAGTTGATAGACACAGCTGAGATGAGCAATGAACATAATAATTCAAATTGCCATGACTACATGAGGTAATGCAGAAAATAACATTAGAAAACAATGCACAGGAAAAAAAAACGAGGGAGATAATAAATATGTTGAAAAATGAAATATGAATAAGCTCTTCATAAAAGTGCGCGCGAAATTTATCGTTTCCTCAGCTCACTGTGACCACTGCTGAAAATTAATTTGCTGAGCTTGCGAGCCATAGCAATGAAATAATTTCCAGCTGGACACAGCGTTCTTCACGCCTGAGCACATCAAATCCCTTGTTAGTTCGACTTATCAAACATGCCAGTGCAGCACACGTTTATTCGCCATCCACTGCAGCTGATATACAAAAATACGGCGACCGCCGACGACAGGGCCGCGACGACTGAGAGACGTGTGCCGACACCGCCGAGCCTAGCCGGGCGGAGCGAGGATATACCGGGACCGACAGACTGACACCGATTTAACTGCAAGACACCGCGGCCGTCGAGCTGGGATAGCCGTGACAGAGAGCTGAGAGGTGGGAGATAGAGGGGTGGAGCCCGGACAAACGACCTTCCGGGCGATAAGATATACCTTTCGCGCGCGCACAACAAACTCGCACGTGCCAGCACCGCTCTCCTGCATACAAAAATAACGAAAGACGCACGACTTTCCGTCGTGTCCTCGCCTTTCGTGCATCGCGAACGAAGCGTGAACGAACCGGTCCTGCGAGCCGCGCGCCGATGTCGAGGGCACACGAGGGCAGCGGCGTCCGCCCGGGTCACATAACCGTACCGCAGACACCACTGCTCCGCCGGCGTGTCACAGAGCCCGGAGAGCTCCGAGACCTAGCCACAGCCGCGGCGCAGGGACGCCCGGCTCCGACCAGGGCAGTGCACCGAGCCGCCGGCCGTCCATGCTCAGCGAGACAGCCTCCGCCATTTACAGCAGAGCAGATATACCATCCTACCGTGACGAAAGATCGCAACAGCCAGCCACATAGTATTCGTACACTTAAATAAATAGTACCCTAACCTTGGTAGCCCATCACACGAGCTAGGAAATATAATATATTTCTGCGAGAATCTAGGTTTATGTACAATTACAGCTCTTAGTGTATTTATAAACCTGTGCCCGACTTACACCGAAGATCTTATTGACCAGACTGAAACACGATTTAATCAGTTCAAACGCGAATGATAAACGTGTCTCCTTGACCATGTTCCCAAATCCTTCAAAATTCACCTGGCGGCCAAAGTGAAGGTGTGGTGACACCCTCGACGCCACGTTAATCACATCATTTTTTTTTGTGACCCCTCGATCGACAGAAAGGCCAATTTGATTCAAGCGCCTTTCCACAAAATAGCTTCAACAAAAAAGATATCGGACAATTTCGTGAAATAAATTTCTTCAATTTTATTAAAATAAACTTTTAAAATTTATAACAACACCAATGCCCGTGCTACCAAACAACAAATAAAATGAACCGATCCAAACTAAAACGTACGCATTAATTACCTAACGCCTAGCCATCAAACCTATAACTTGTGCACTCGTCTTTCGATCAAATCATAACAGAGCCGCCGCCGCCGGCTGCCCGCCGCCCGCGCGACTGACCGGTCATGAGGGCAGCCACCACCGACGGGCCGACGGACGGACGGGCGGACGAACCAGACCCTACGTCTCCGTGTCGGGCTCATCGGACTTCTCGAGGATCTCGAACGAACCGGTCGACTGCTGGCTGCCCTCCGAGCCGCCCTCAGACTCCCGATGCTCGTCACCGTCCCTGGGGGAAATGGAAGAAAAGGGGTCAGTAGGTGTCCCGAGGCAGCAGTTGGAATGGGAAGAAATGGTCAGCAAGCATATAGGAAGAGCGTCGCACATCGAGGAAGCATCCAAACAGAACTACGCTGATCTCATTGAGTCCATGCGAACCACGTTGGGCTTATGCCCGAACTAAAAGTAAATGACATGAGCCTTGACTACAAAAGCAGCGATGAGGACCAGCCCTTAAATTAGTCCTGTCCTGTGGCCTTCGTTACACCACTTGGGAAATCTGTCTCACCCTTCTAGCGTCACCGTTTCTTTTCGATACCACAGCTACTGCTACCTACCGGCCATTTCAACCCTTCGAGGACACTATTCTCTGTTGTCGCCGTCCGTCTGTCCGCCATGGCCCCATATTGCCCACGTCGCCTCTGGACACTCACTGTTCTTTAGTTCCGTCCTCGGCCTGCCCTCCTTCGGCCTCGCCCGGGTCGGCCTTTGGTACCGACTCCGCTGCCGGTTTGTCCTCAGATTTGGTCGCCGAAACATCGCCACTCTCTCCCTCCGCTGTCGCGTCCTTCTTCTTCTTGCGCTTCTCCTTCTTCTTATCCTCTTTAGGACCCCGGTATTCGTACTGAGGGGGCAAATGTCGGGAAGCGTCAAATGCAGATCACTAAAATAATAAAAATACGCAACCTACGTAATATCATTCAGTGAAAGCACTAAGGTCGATTTTTAATCCAACACAACTGCAGCAGTCTGATAGCACATCATACTTCTAGCGTCAGTCTACCTGCACTCTTGACCACAGGCTCCTGAATTGCGAATGCCATCACCGTCAAATTGTCCAATACAGCATAGCCTCTGCTCTGCAAACAAGGAGAGATGGCCTCCCCCACTCGACTAACCCGAAAGGGTAACACCACGTCCCACTCAACTGACGTGTGATCGTGTACCTCCCTCCAGCCCATCTCACCTGATACAACGGCCAGAACGAAGCGAAGAATCCAACATCCTCGGTGAGATTCGGCAGGATCCAGAGGTGGTGTCTGCCCATGGTGACCAGCCAGACGAGGGCGAACACCACCACGCGGATCACAGAGAGAGCCAGGATGAACACGAGGAAACCGGCGGCCGCCAGCGACAGGTAGTACACGTACTCTCTGGGGACGCAGCGGACGGGGAGAGCGCTAGAGTGGCACGCAGATTCCAGCACAGCTGTGGGGAGCAGTGTGAACATGGGGAGGCCAGGTACAGCCTGACATGTTGTCATCGAAACACGGTACTTTAACAGACAAACCATCGGTACAACCGAAGAGAGCGACGTTTGAAGTTCGTCTACCTTCGACGAGCTACGAAACGCGTAACAATAAGTATTAAGTACACATCAAAGTAAACGCACATTTTATGAAACTTGACCCCTCGCAAACAATTGAAATTGAAGCATAATAAAGTTCTGGCAGCCCAATGAGCATAACCGTTGAGCAAACACGCATTGCTATCAAAACTTTATCCCACGACGGCAATAACAGCTGCGTATTTGCCGCCAGCCAGTGCAGCGATATAAATCCGGTGGTCTCTGGGGCGTGGGCCGCCCCAGCCTACACCGACAGCAAATCGATACCGGGGTGGGTGTGCACCGGGACCTTCTAGGGTCGGTAGTCGGTACACCGCCCCGCTTCCCGCCACCCGACTGACCTGACTTTGGCCGGCCACAGCGGGAACAGACACACAGCCACGATAGCCAGCACCAGCAGAATGCCCAGCAGCCAGTAGTGCGTCGGGATCGGGTCGTAGATCCACACGTAGGCGTCGTTACCGTCGACAAACACCTGCTCCAGGTGCATGTCCAGCTTGACGCGGCGCTTCGGCTTGCCCTCCTCGGACTCCTGCGAGGTCATCGAATGTGATGAATGTGCAGACAAAAGCGAGACTCATCGTCATCTTCACACTCACATATCGCATGATCTAAACTGATGCAAAGATCTACACATACACACACTTGCCATAGCAGGGAGGGCTGCATTACAAAGCACACTTCTCCAAGTTCACGCTCACTCATCGTCATCTTCACACTAACATATCGCATGATCTACACATAAACACACTTGCCACAGCAGGGAGGGCTGCTGCTTACAAAGCACACTTCTCCAAGTTCACGCTCACCTTCTTCTTTTTGGCCCTTGGTGACGAGGTGTCTCCCTCGGCGGCGCTGGGCTCGCCGGCCGGCTCGTCGGCAGCACTGCGCTCCGCCGCCTCCTTGGTCTCCTCATCTTCTCCCGAGTCGCTCTCGCTCTCCTCCCGAGTGGTGCCCTTCTTCTTCCGCTCCTCATCCTCCTTCTTCTTGAGCTTCTTCAGCTCCTTGCGCCGCAGGTCGCGGTCTGTGATGGCGATCTTCTTCGCACGGTGGAAGAACTTGTGCCGCAACATTCTGGCAAATAAGAACAATGGACGAGAATAAAATCAGATGGTGGCCAATAATTTAACGAACTACATGTGTCTTTAGTGGCGCCAGACAAACGTAACAGACATAACGACCTGAAGAGCTTAAGAAATAATACGATTGAAGTTACCGACAAACTTAATGACACATTTATTAGGCATTATGATAGCGGGCTTGGACTCTTTAAAGAAAATCGATATCAATAGACAAAGTAAGAATCGACTCAGCTAAATTTTAAACTTTCTTTCGGAGAGTGAGGGATGGGGGCAATGCGCATTTGATGTTTTAGCTATCGTTAGCATTCGACAATAGAATAAATTACTGCCGTTTTCCTCCCATCTGAGTAATAATTTGGTGATCATGATCACAGTCATTTCACCGTAAGTTCCGAGATAAAGCCATGCCTCCGACCGATCCCAGCCGGGACGCGAGACGTCTCGGAAACCATGCCGGACGGAGGGGGCGGAAGGTCGAACGAGGATCGATTGTCCATCTTTCCGGTCGGCCGTTATTGACGTGGCAGAAGGCCCGACCGCCCGGCTATTGTTTCTCCCCGGGAGCAACAGACCGGTTTTCGTCCGTCCGACAAACGACGTACGGTACTCGGTGAATCACACCACGCAACCGAAGAAATATTATGCCAAATATAAAACCAAAAGCCCTAGACTACTCCATATCAGTAATACAGTAGTCTAGGCAAAAGCAAATATTCACTGAACATTTCGTTAAGTTTCGACACCCCGCCTGAAGTCTCAGCTGCGCTTTAATCTCAAATCATTATCCCTCCGCTAGCTCTGTAACGATATGATTTACCGCCTTAGCAGCACACATTGGGAGTCCGAAAAAAGTGTCTCACATGTCCAGGAAGTCGACGACCGACTGTCGGTCTGTGAATAGGATCGGGTGCTTCTTCTCTCCGGAGGCCCAGGGCGAGTCGAGCAGCGCGTCCACCGCGCGACCGGCCGTGAAATACTGCACCGGGTGGTGCATAAACTTGGTCTTCTTGTTTGGGATATTGTCACGAATGTACTTGGCGACAGCATACTCCTCCTTGGTAGGTTTCTCCTCAAGCGGTGGCTCCTGAGAGTGATACAAAACAGATCACTAGAACAGCAATTTTTGGTAGAAATGCGAAAACAAATAAATCCAATTAGCCAGTATGATGAATGATGGAATGATGGCTCAAAATGACTTTCAAAAGATGTGGTGAAACACTGGCCCCTTCAGTTGTGACCAGCAATGCTAAATAACATTTACCTTTCACAGCCATTGATACAAACGACAAATCCCTCCATGATCCCTAATTCAGATTTGACACATTGAAAAATGATTTAACGCTGCATCCAACGTAATAATGACTCACCGGTGCCTTTCTTTTCACCCTTTTTCCAGACATGATTCACAACCTGGAAAAGATCAGTAAAGTCACCCACATGGAACCTGAACATGATATAAGAACTAGGGAATCTGTATTTTGCTTTGAAATTTTGAATGAAGAGATGATCAGAAGGATGAAGGTGAAAGGTCAGCAAAGAACACTGATACATGACGACAAATTTGTGCTTATAATATAATTTCATGGTTCGGGTAGAAAGTGCTGCGAGATAACCAACTTGCCTGATAGATAGGGTCTACAAATTCAGGACATTCTAATGAAATGGCCTGCTTGTGCCAACTCTGCATTAATTGAACAGCTGCTGCCATTATTTATATTGCTAATTACCCTTTAACCTTCCAGGGGGTGGGGGGCATTTTTTGCCTCCCCCCTTAGTTTTTTCGATATATCTCCAGAACCGCTGCGCCGATCGTCACCAAACGTTCAGTACCCTCCCGTGAATAGCTTTTGCACATTGTGACCAACACATTTTCCAAAGACTATGATAGGTTGGCCGCTAATGACGTCGGAGTGACGTCATTTCTGCCATTTTCGACAAAAAAAAGATTTCGAGGAAAGAGCTGTCAGGCCTACAGCTTTAGAGATACAGAAAAATGTTTCAGACATAAAATGTGTCGAATTAACAGGGCTACAAAACTGCTATCTCGGATTTTTAAAACTTTTAGATTTTAACCCCCCCCCCAAAATAGATACCAATTACCAGGCCCATCGGGAGAAATGGGCTTGGTATCAGGCCCATTTCCAGGGCCTGATATGGAAATGGCAGCTGGCTCAAGGATGAGCAGTTAAAGCCGATTATACGATTTAATGCATACTAATGTTTCACATGCATAGGCAGAAGGACGTGGGCACATGTTTCATTATCAAAGAATATGCATACTACCACGTAACTTCTTTGTTTTTTGCCCAACTAAATATTAAGTATTCTCCCTCGTTTTTAAATTACGGTGGCCGAAATCAAATGAGGAACGCAGATTTGGGGGTAGCCGGTAGGTGGGTATTGGCGACCAGACTCAAGCAAAGGTTTGTGGCAACGCCCTGGAAAAGTGTCCCTAGAAGTTCTGAAACCATGGTGACGCCACTGAAATGGCCTCAGGCGCCGTTTTCAACGTTCACCACTGAAACTCACAAAGACACATTCATTTCAATTTCCAACAACTGAGTAAAGAACCTATTGATATGATAGGCAGGAAGATAGGTAGGCAACTACATTCCAATAACCAATTTAATGACAAAAACCAAAATATCTCAATTATCATGGCATACAGTTAAATAATTTAAATTGTATTCAAACAGATGTGCTGGATCAAGGCTATAAAAACCTGGTGATGAATTATGGAAAATTATAAAATGCTTACAGTTAAAATATATAACCAAAAATCGAATAAATTACTTTGTTTCCCGGCAGCTCCGTATCCAGGCCCAATCCAGGCCGTACAGCGATAGCGCTATGTCACGAAACTTTCGTGTTTTGTGTTTTGAGCGAGGTGTTTGAGGTCGTGTGAGTCGTGAGGTGACGTTGTCGACGCAGACGTCACATTTACAACTGCTTTTTAAACCACTGCTAAGAATGAGGTAAGAGCTATACAGTTTTTTCCAACGTTTCCTATACATCCTGGCCTTCTCGTCGACTTTCAATTAAGAATCTTGTTGTGAATGATAAAAAATAATCATTTATTTCAGTTATGTCAACTTTTCACAAAAAGCCTTGCTAAATCTTTGCTAGCCTTCATTGATCTTATTTAGCCATACTGCCATGGGCTATAGCTGACTAAAATGAAGTTTTTACGCACGAAAAATACGGTTTTCTGATAAAACAAACACATCACGCAAATTAATGCCGTGCATTTCTTTTCTTATATGAAGCCACATTTATCATTGGCAATCAAATCAAGGTATATAAAAACACTGCATCAAATTAGTCGTGACTGTTCTCTATTCTCTACTGACTGTTCTCTACCAAACCATAAGTTTGTTATTCAGTCGCTAGATAGCGCTAGCAGCTCTTTCTCACTCGACCTTTTTCTACTAGCTTGATTTCTAGTATATATAATTCAGCCCAGTTTTAATAATTTTATTTTCTGTTTCACATTTAAGGACATTTACGACGTTTAAGACATTGCTTTTTTGTCCGTTACTTTAAATAAAAAGGGTATTCTAAGGTAAATATCTCTATTCTTTCCTACTAAACGGCACCTCGTACTCAAAGCAGTGCGGTAAACTGTGAGCACTGTGAGAACCAGGCCCATGTCACTCCACTTTCGATGACATCATATGGGGGCCTCAGGACAATAATGGCGCGGCGCGCCACAATCGTTTCAAAGCTACTTGCCAACAGTTGCCATTTTTGAAAATATTATTTTGAAATAAAGTTCCGAGTAATAAAAATATTGTAATAAAGTTGTTAAATAAATCGATACCATATCTAAAAACTTATTGAAAAATGATTTATTTTTAGTAAAAATATAAGCTCGATGCGTTTTTACGTTGCTTTCCTGCAACTGCAGAGGGTTTTTAAATCGTCTATATCTTCAAAACCGGCCATTTCTTAGCATATTGCTGCTCTTTTTTATCGCTAGAAAATTAGTTGGACTTTTCAATGACATCAATGGTTGAGCGATGTGTGTAGAGTGTCACCAACAATCTTCAAATGAAATTAGCCATTTTTACGTTGTAAAGGAATGGAGCACCCCTTGCGAGCATCAGGGGTGACGTCACTCAGGATCTGTCTCTGATTGGTTCATTTCAATTTTACTTCAGGCTGAGTGAATTTTCGAGTGTTTTGCGCTGGTAAATAGAAGACATTGTAGGCTAGCAAAATGCTTCTTAGATAGGTATACATATAGCCTATTTTATATTTTGCTTGAAGAAATTCAACATAAGTGTCAGGTGAGAGCCTCAATTTTATTGATAATGATAAATTTATTAGCTTTCAACCATGGCCACCCCATAAGCTACTGACCTGATAATGCTGATTTTTGTGTGAGACTGCATCAGTGATTCCAGGATGAATATTTGTGTTTGTGTGGCACTGGTGGGCCCAGTCCGCCCAGAAAAGCAGTTTGGTGCTGCGGAGAGAACATCCATGAAAATGTGGCATTGGTAAAGCCTGTATCACTGTTGATGTATCTAGCCTAAATTTCACCTACAGTCATACAACCTACCAATTGCAATGTTAAACTACAATCGACAATCTACAATCTACCTTGCAGTTTCTCATCTACTGGCTACTATGTATAAATTATACGCCAAAACAAAAAGTGACACAGCTTTACAGATGCCCAACAGTTTCTCTGTATCTTTAAAACTGAAACTCCTCAGATTTTACTCTCCTGTTCAGATTAAAAGAAGCCCTTTGTAATGAATATTGTTGAGCTGTTTACGTTTTGGACTGAAGGAGGGGCCATGTAATTTTTGTCTTTTTGGGGTATTGCTAACTACAGGAGGCACTTGCCCAAACACCCCTCTCTGGGTTTGTAAGTGTTGTCAGTATATTTTTGCTGCTGTTTTAAATCAGAATAAAAACAACTTTGAACTTAGCCTAACCTAGCCTAGCCCAACATGACAGATCATAGCCTTAGTTTGTTCCAATTCAGAAGTGTGAGAATGGAGAAAGTTTTGTCAAGGGCTGAGGCACCCATTTTGATATCATTAAAATGGGAAGCAGGTGACAAATAATAACAGGGCTATCAGAAAGGGCTGAAGAAACATTGAGAATGCTGTTAATAGTTATAAGTCAAATGTTGCCTAGCCAGAACTTAACTTAAAGACCTTGATACCATTCTTGATCAATACCTATAAACAACTAATTTATTTCATTTTACAAATTAAATTTAGTCCTATTTTTCATGTGAGTTCTTTCCATAGCTTTTCTTAGCTCTTTCATATGACCAATCAGGATCAGTGCTAGTTTATTAGGCATTAGGCTATTGCTGCTTGAATATTTGTATTTTTACTGCTATTGATTTATTAGATTCTTAGTGTAAATGCTATGCCTCATGTAGTAACTACTGGAATGACAATGATTCATTCTTTGCCAACATATTTGCTCTCACTCTCTGTACATAATGTCTGTACACCACCCGTACATAATGTCTCGCCGCATCATTTTATTGTGCTATTAAATGTACCTGTTTTGGTTAATACAAGGGAGAGTCTCTCTGTTCTCACAGTTTGTTCATCCTGATTGATGCCACCAGAATTGTTCTCACAGTTGTGTTCATCTTCAATTGTATGCTGTACTTTGTGCCCCACTCATCCCAGTACCTGCTGCTTCCCTATGGCCTATATGGGCTGTCATCTAACCAGCCATTGCTTCCATTTGCAGGTAGTGACTGGCAGGTGCAGTGATGCCGCCTCCACCGCCGCCGCCGCCCCCTCCCGGGGCGCCGCCGCCGCCGGCTGCCGGTCCCCCTCGGAAACCGACCGCCAAGGGGCCCGACCGGGCGGCACTGCTCAGTGACATCCACAAGGGAGCCAGGCTGAAGAAGGTGGTGACCAATGATCGGAGTGCGCCGGCTGTAGGTAGGTGTCTGACGGGAGGACGGTGGGACGTGGGGAGGGAGAGCTGTGGGCGGTGAGAGGATGGAAGAGTGTGTTGTGTGAAAGATTTGTGTTGGGTGTGACTGATGTAGATATTATTTGATAAAGACAACTCGGTGCTATAATAGCGGTAGATGGGTGGTTCGACGGTGATTGCTACGGTATTGGTTTTGACGTGGCTAGTGAGCCGTGCGTTTTATCCACGGCCTCGGATTCGACAGACCAGGTACACCAGTAGGCTTCCAGCAGCAGAGCTATGTTTCACAGCTGGTCGAGGTGTTCGATTGTGCATGCCTTCAGGCGTGCGGTCTCTCCAATAGCTGGCCCGACGATTTCAGAATGGGGGCGTGGTGCTATGATCACTTTCCATATGCTCCGCTGCTGTGTTACGGGTGCGTCCATCCCCGCGTTCTTGGCCATAATCAGCTGCCCTTGTCTCTGTACGATGCCGCTGCATCCCGGCACTCAATGCCCAGCATCCAGGTCCCTTTGTCCCGTCCCCGGCGTGTGTGTGTGTATCACCGTTTTGTAAACCCACTTGTCGGCCCGCTTGTTTTTGGCGACGCTCGGCCACCGCCGCTTGTAAGTCGTCGCGACGAATGCGCCCACTGTAAACACAATGGAGCGGCCGCGGCCGGCTGCGTCTGCTATCAAGGCCGTACAGGGTGGAAAGTAATTACGCGAACATACTTTTTCGTCTTATAGCAATGGAAAAAGCGGCGGTGACATGAAAATTTCATCTTTTCATATATTCCTATTTATGTGCGATACACTGACAAAGGCGTTCAGGCATAATTGACATGAGCATGTCAAGCACTGTTGGCCAAAGCTTAGTCCACTCCTCTTGGAGCTGTCTGGTGAGGCAATCGATGTTGGTGGCTACTAGCAGCTGGGGCATTCCACGTCAAATCGAACAAAAATCGGCTGTTTTGCACCTTACCATCACCGATTTCATTATAAATTTGTGAGCGAGTTCCTGTGTGGCCCCGGACATTACATTGATGTTTTTTGCACATTCTGACCACAGGTCTTCTAAATATAGGGCATCAATTTTTTACAAAATGTTGCATCTTTATATTTTTGAACGACCATAACTTTGGTTGTACTTGTTTGATTTGAATGAAATAAACCTTACTGTTTAGGTAATTTCTGAAGCATTTGTTTAGAATTGCACCTACTTAAATATATGACCTTGAAATTTGCTTAACTCTGTTCTTAAGCACAAATATTGAAATAGCAAAAAACACGTCACCTTCGATTTGGCTCATTTTCATATATTTTATTGCCTACCATATTCTTAACAACCTGTGAAAAAATTAGAGTGGGCCATTCATAGGTTTTGAAGAAAATTGCACATATGCAAACGTATGTTAGCACGCGCAGTGGAGGGGGAAGAACGAATTTCGCCCACCCCTCCTGTTTTTCGCCAATATCTCATAAGATTAATGCGAAATTAATTATGGCTACCTGTCAAGAATTGAATTGGACATCTCATCGTGCAAGCAATAAGAAAATCGGTTCACAACTGTTCTAGTTATAGCGGTGTAAAGTGAACATCCTGTCGCCGCAGCAACGCGGCGGCTCGGCAGCCGGCGCCGACCGCTACGCGCCGCCTGAATTGTAGACTGTGCCGGGACGGAACGGAACGGTTCCGTCTTTACATCGCGCTCCCTACCGCTGATTACGTTTGATTCGCGTCAAATTTTGTGAGAAGACTAAGAAATATACAGGCAATCTTATGGTGAAAATTTTTTGAAAATCGGTTGGTAAACAATTGAAATATGAACGTGTAAACACAAAATTGTGATTGCTGCGTTACCCGCATCGGCCGAGCCCGCCTCAGCCGGCGACATGTTACTCTTAGCAGGCCTCTAACTGCCATATTTATCATTGGATTAACTAGAAATTCCCCATACATACTAAAAAATGTATGTTCTTTCGTAAAGTGGAGATCAAAAGACGTGAAGATATCGTTGCGCGATAATGTTTTCGTTGAATTTACTTCA